GTATGAAGCACCAAGGTCTATCCATTAGTCACCTGTATTTGAGTTGGTTGCCCTCTAATTCCTTTAGTCTGCACATCTGTCGCAAAATCCCGACGGATCGAAACCAATTTATGTAAACGCATGAGTATTGGTACAAAACACTATGGGTATATATATTTATTTATTTGTGAGTCAAAAATATCGGGGTGATATTCGCATGTAATGCCATGTATTCATATCCAAACGTCAAATATACACAATATGGTGAAATCCCACACCATAAAATATAATAGTGTATAAAAAATAAAATAAACAAAAAGATCCCTTCCAACACGTAACTACGTTGGGGTCCGCCATTTTATTCAGCGAGCAGCTGATTGCGCATTCCATCAAGTCCCCTGATCAACAGCGTCAACAGTTCTTTTTACAAGGTCGGGGGCAAAAGGTAGCAATAATATAATATCAACAGGGTGTATTAATTAAAATGAAATATGGCTTGTAAACATGCGTGGCACAATGGTTGACTTTGAAGAGTTACTGGGAAATGTTGTCTAAATAGTGATTTAATAAAGTTCTAAATGGTTGGCCAATAATGACATTACCGGCGGTCGATGCTCCATCGGGAATTTGTACGACGATCAACCACCATTAGTCAACATACCTTACACACGCTGATGGGAGAAAAATATACTTTGTACTTTGTGTTTGCCTAAGAAAGGGAAGTCATCAAACAATGGGAGCTCAAAAAATACAAGTACGGACAGTTTAGTTATCAAACTTGAAGAGAGGTAAATACACACAACTCACAGGACAAGCTGGTCGCTTTGCGATGACCAAGTTCTTGTTTATGAGTAAGTTGAAATATGTATCATGGCTACAAGACACATTGTTACAAATTACAAACTGGTCAAGTTTACATGGGCGCTATTTGAACTTTTGTACGTTAACCTTTCACAAGTCAAACTAGCCAAGATACGAGGAAAAAAATTTATCAATGGCATAAATTTTCTCCTAATTCCACAATAAAATGTTCATAGAATACTTGGATAAACGAAAAAAAAATGTTTTTTTCATACAGCGTCGGCAAACACTAATTCAGTGAAGTCGGTATTTGTTTGAAACACAAACTTTTGGTAAGAGAAATTCAAACATTTGAAGCTTGGAGGCCGGATACACCGAAGACATTTGTTTCATCAACGGAAGCGACATTCTCGTCGGACATTTAATATTAGTTAATGTGTAATTTATGTACAGGGGCTATAGAAACTACGAGACGGATGAAACAAAAGACTGTCGCTAAACGGGTGTTGCCCGGACTTGTATTACACGAATGATCGGTATCTACTCGAGATGCACCTATTTACAAAGATTACAAACCGTTTATCAGATGGAATTTGGACTTGAATTGCTAGCACCAACGGGGGTCTAACGCCACCCTCTCCAATACCGTGGTCGGAAAGTCTGGTTGTCTTCCGCGTTTTTGGCAAACTATACCGAGAATTACTAAAGTTCAAGGATACCAAAGGTCAAAGGAAAATTTTAACCGGAAATTCTCATAAAATTTAAAGAATGCAATCCAAATTGCAATGGCGTTCTATCGAAAAGTCCGATCCTTACAGTCGTATTTAAAGTCAATGTAGCGTTGGATTTGAGATAACTTACATATGGACAAAACATAAACTAACTTAGCCAGAAGTAATCCCACAAAATCCTTAATGTTTGTGTTCATCCATCTTTATTCAAAATTAAGCCCAATTTAAACAAAAATAGCCGAACGACACTTCATTATTACTTTCCGTTGTTAGACTTTGCTATCATTTTCACTTTAATATTACCAGGTAGCCCGTGGGAAACCCGTAATTGGCAAATGATTATCTTACAAATCGCGGTTTATGATGGAGAGACGAATTCATAAAGAAATGCCAATATCGTGTTTGGACAATGTTATAAACGGCATGTAATTGGTGGAAAAGATTAGCGTAATCCGGAGAATAAACTCGTATGTTAGCAATTTATAATATATATTCAGAAATGTGATAACCAATCAAATAGAAGTTCATTCCCACGGAAAAGCGGCTACCTTTTCTCGGACCTGCGGTACCAGTGTTCTACTTGGAAATCCTCCCATTTAAACAAATATTAAGACAATATTTTCGTTTAATAATAGCGTAATATGCTGAAGATATAAGGTTCGCTGCAGCACATCGTCGTTACAATTCTTTTTGGTATGAGAATTGAACAAAAATTGGGTTTCAAACACTATTTACGTTTCCTTGTATAGAATATAGGAAGGCGCGGAGTCGTCAGCGTCCTTACCCACGATACAAATTAGTTTAGGCAGGATGTGGCGGGTTTCGATCATGATGAACTCCGTAAATCCACAGGCCTCGCGTAGCAATACCGTACCAATACGCCGTTGATGAAAACGTATAGGTATCAATGCCGAGAAATGGGAATATCCTTCCTATAATGACATCAGGAAGCGAAAGTCAGTTAGCGCCTGGGTGCACCTGAGCGTCTTTCCGCGTATTGATGACTTGTTCGTCAAAAAGTAATTGGTTTTCAACTACTACCTGTAGCATTTGCCAAATAAGAATAAAATATGTTCCAATAGCTGGAAATATTTATGCAAAATCTAATGTATGAAGATATAATTTTTTCAGTTGTTACATACATTGTTTCCTTTTAATGTCGAAAATATACATTCAAATCTCTGTGTCATTTTACTAGTCCAGTTCATAAAAAAATGCGGGTTATTTTTTGCACAGATTCTGTGCAAAATACAAAGGGCTGTAGCAATCGCGGAGAAATGCGATAATTATCGAATAAAATTCAAAATTTAATTTGTAATATATATAATCGTACATTCGGATTTTTAAACTAAAACTTGTTAGTTAGCTTATGATAGTCGCAGTAAATTGTGTTTTGAAAATTTACATGCGCTCCGCGCTGGAAACTAAAAGCTACAGAAGAAATGGCTCGGGAGCACGAGGGTACATTCAATAGATTACCGTATCTGCAAACACTCAGGCACTCGAAATCGGGGCAAACGGAAACAAATTTCGTTGTATAGCCTTGTATTTTTCTATTACTTTCCGCTGGAATTCAAAATCTATATGAATTTTAGTTTAAAGTAAGACAGCATTATTATGAAGTTATACTTTCGTGATATGCAAACTGGCGACGATAGGGATATCGGACAACCTTTCATCAACGCGAAAACAAACTTGACAAATGCGAAAACAATCAGCGAAACAGACAATCAAGCATAGTTGCGCTTTAAATTTAAAACAATTCCATATGACCCAAAATGTTTTTCACACCATTACATCACAAACAATGACAAAGAGACTTGAGTTTTCGTCGACCCTAAATCAAAATAAGAGACAGTTTTCACGTTTTCTCAAGCACGTTTGCACTAACGATTTTACTTTTGACACCCTGGCGCTAAGCCTTGGATACTAAAAACTAGACATCAAAAGCCCCATGTTCGACTCCTAAAATGCTCAAAGGCGCCATCATATTTTTGGCATCCTACTAAGCCGACACGCGCCATTAAATTTCATTTCATACCTGAAATTCAAGTAATCGTCGCTTTCACTGGATCACGGCAGAATTATTTTTCAAGCGCAAAAAAATATTTTCAACTGTCAAGCAGGGGATGACATAATTGTTTTCATTACAAAGATCACGCCAACACGTTTATAAAAATAGCTATCACAACACCGATTACCGAAGTACCACAAGCTTGGCAACTTTACAAGTTACTGTATCTCATTCAAATATTCCACCGTGAGATATTTTAGTTAGTAGGGTATGATTTAGAATTAATTGGATCCAAAGATTGCATATACATTTTTTGGTTTAATAAAATCACCATCAAGAAATTTTATTTCCCGAAGACGGAATGTATTTTCCCCACGCCAAAAATCGCGGTTTTAACACCCCGAAAACAAAAGGGATGACAGACTATGGCGTAAATATAAAAGATAGAACAAAAACATGGAAATCTTCTGATGGCCATTTGAAAAAATTTGCACATTTTCATTCGTCACAAGTTTACTCAGTATAAATTTCCTGTTTTCTTCAGAATTACCAACCTCGGGAAATTCTAACCAATTTGAATCTCAAATGCGACCGCCGACACTTATCAGCAGGATACCCAGACAGTCGACTGATAAATTTATTGTACAATTCCAACTCAACAGTATTTATGTAACTTCCATACATGAAATAACCGAGAATTAAGTTCCTCGTGTCGCCGCCACTTATTCACTATATTCCCACAAATTCAAAGTACACAAGGGCACATTCCTCAAAACCCAGTCAAACTTTTTTTAACGAGACAGAGACAGCAAACACTTTACACAGATAGGAACAACCAAACCTCTCCTACAAAATATCACAAAGAATCTGTATAAGTCTGGGATTTTCAGTCAAGGGCTATGTTTATTTGTTTGACTTGAAATACATAGCAAGCTTGCATAATAAAGGGCATCTTGCAAGATAAATGATTGAGTATATGGCTCAAAGAGTCAGTTTCTAATCCAAACGAATAGTCCGAATGCCATTTTGGATTCTGTGCAAATTAAACTGAAGCATATGTTAGTGTGTATCTCACTGATATGAAAACGAAATGGAGAGTTGAACATGCTATTCATCTCTAGAGAAATTTATACTGAACCAATATTTTGACAAAGGAAAATATGAGTTTGCAACCTTGTTTGGCTCATCCACTTCTACTTAATTCAACAATTGCAGTATAGACCCTCCATAGTCACCCAAGGCTAATTTGTGACTTCATTTTACGCAACTACCCACATTATCTATGAGAGCCACTGCCCAACTCATTCTCCTAATACAGCACAGAAGCCAAGAAATATTGACCACACATCAATGCTCGGTAGTGAATCGACAGTATACTTATCCCCAATAATTATCCATGCATTTTGTAATGTATCATCAACATCAATATCTTGACTAGAAGCCTATATTGATAGTATAAATTAATCATAACATACTTTTCATATTCTTCATTATCTGCCAAACATCGCTTGTCCATGTGATATTCCCAATGTTTTCCATGTCGGCATGTTGTCAACATAACGATATCTTCTCCATTATGAATATGATAAAGAGCATTTCTTGTGCTTGAACCAATTCCATAAGTATACCTGGAAAATTTGGTTAAAACTCTCACAAAATTTGATAAAGATGTGATATCAAATAATTGAGTGAACAACTAATTCTTCAAATATTAGAATTTATAACTGAACGTGGCATTGATCGAAGTTATATCGAGTTTTCCAGTGCTAGATATACCAGTATGTTACGGTATTCAAAATGTTTAGAACAAGAGACAGGACGTCATTGGCAGCAAACTCTTGTTTCTTGAGTCTTTTTTTTATATAATTCAGAGGTCAACTGCATTAATTCAAAGTTTCAAGGAATATGAACTTTCATTCGAATGGATTTAAAATCCAAATTCAAAAACCCCTCAAATGCTGCAATGTTTAAGTGTCTGTGAACATTTAGCCCGCGACTTCAAATTTGAACATGAATGCCATATTATGACGCTCTCTTCTAACTTTCTATTACCGTAGATTGAATCATACTTAAAGAAATATAGGTCAATTTTAACTAATATTGAATTACCTCTTTCCTTTAAAAGTCAACAGGTATTTTCGTACTGGTGGAAAAAGATTTCTTTTCAAAAATCCAGCAACTCCCTGCTTTGCAGGATGTGTTTTGCCGAAGAGTGGCAGAGATATATCAAAGCCTTCGCGATAGCTTGCTTTGCTTAAACTTGCCTTTGCTAGAATAGCCTCCCCAATATCAAAATTTAAGTCTTCTAGATAATCTGGCCAAGTACCAGAATAAAGATTAAATATTAAATGATTTCGTCCATTATTCCAGTATTTTAAACGAGAAACTTTGGAACCTAACTTTTTTATATAGTCATCTGATAGTTTGTCTCTGTCTAGTGTGTCATATGCCAAAACAAATAGGCATGCCTTTTCAGGATTTTCCGTATAATACCGTGATGTTCGTATTGCATCAAGAATATTTCTGTAGTTTGCAGAGGTTTTTTCGCCATCTGGTTCTGGGTAGATATAAACTTTGAAGCCATTTGCGTGGCAGCGTTCAAAGTCAAAGCATGTGTCCATTCGACACTTTCGTCCCTTATAAACGCTTTTGTGTGTTCGTATGCTCTCCATAGGAGATTTGTAGTCATCGTCAGTGAACTCATCTTCTTGGTCCGCGAAGAATGTAAGTTTTGAAGAAACGCTATCATCTTCTGTGAGATGTGCCATTGACTTTTGGGGTAGAATGTCATCTGTTGCGTCCCGTTTAAATAACGGGACTGGCTGGTCAGAATTCCATGTAACAAACACCTGTGAAGCAACATGCAAAAAATAAAGGTATAGAAACTAGTATAAATCCAGAAACAAGTAATATAACTAGAGCTGGGAATTTCAGGGAAAACACTTTAATTGTTAACTAGGTAAAATTAACTGGCTAACCGCAGCGTGACGTTTCACATAATAATTTATAATTTTAGCTTGTTACGCCACAATGGTTACAAAGCAATTTTGCATGACTTTATCCCGGTATCGCTCAAAATTATACACGAATCGAGATAGTTTCGTGATCGATTTGCTGCAAGAGATATGCAGCGTGGGTAGGACATATGGAAGTATTTTAGTAAAACCCGATTCCGTTATTAAATGTCATTTATGTGACATAGTTTCAGTTTTTGATGTGCAAATTCTACTTTGAGATATATGAAGAAAAACAGCATCAACTACGCACTTGTTGATTGACATTGATTATACGATTTCGAAATAAAACCGTGAACACTATATTTTAACCGAAAACTGATTCATAATTAATTATTATCAAATTTTCATAATCAGCGATCTTGGTACTAAAATTATTATTCACATTTATCCGGTCTTCACCAATACAGTTAGCGATATTCTTCTGAACTTAACGCCACAGGAGATAAGTTTGCGATGACGTAATCATTTTTAAAAAGAATTGTACATTATAAAGATAATTTGTACCGGAGATGTCAGTTACCAGTTAAAATAAATTGTAACCGTTCACCATCTATAGTCGGTTACCCGGCTAACTATTCCCAGCCCTAAATATAACATAAACTCACCTTTTGACTTCCATAATAAACAATAGTTACAGTAAAAAGTGAAAGTAGCAGTGCGATATATCTCTTCTTCGCCTGCATTTATATGCCGTGCCTTGGCGGCAGGGCAAGCATTTATCTGACAATTGTTGCACCACTCTTGATGTGCAATGTAAAATATCCTATATTGAAGCACTTTAGTTGCACAATTTTCTATCTTCAGGGTATAATATTGCGAAATATATTAAAAGCATCCGCAAGTTAACATAAAAACATGGTGCCTAGAAAAATACAAACAAATAATTTTCAATCTAGCGCAACTTAAATTAATTTGATTCTAAGATTTTCTCAATATTTTACAAATGGCATATCATAAAACAATTGAGCTCAGCTATTCCTTGAATTATATAATATTAATATTCCTCTTACATTACCAGGAAATGCATAACAGTGACACATATCAAGTCAAAATTCTGAAAATTTTAAGAGTACGTTGAGAAAGGTGAATAATTTGTTTGAATTGACGCCTCTTTTTAAGGGGATTCTCTATCATTTCAGTTTCATCAACCGCTTTTAAAAATGATAATATATGAATAAACTTAGATTTACAGGTCATTTGGGCATAGTTAATGTAATATTAAGGAAATATCTGTGGGGCGAAGGGTCTGTAATCCCAACTTGACAGTTGAGAACTTCAATTTGACAAAAAGTACAGTTTCACTGGAGTCGAGAATAACTTTTTCGTAGTTCTCATACAACTGTACAAGCCAGGCACAACTGTACCAGTCTGCCGGTAGCGAAGCATAGAAATAAGGGGGCTGGTATAGATTAGTACCACATGCACTTCTAGTTGGCCTGACTTAACAATTTTTGCATATGCCAATCCTAACCCCCACCTGACTACGTCACCGAAAAATTATGTCATTTCGACGTCACATTGACGTAATAACCCCACCACAAAGTATGCGGATGGTCGTCCAAAACGCGTAGACGATCACCCGAAATCTAGCAAGCTATTTCTCTCGTTTTTCCGTCATGACGATCACGATAGGAGAGAGATCGCCGTCGTTAGTGAAGTCCGGTGAGTTCGTTATCGGCGGCGCAGATGCCATTTCGGGCGATCGTAAATATACTTTGGCAAGCCCTATGATGTGTTTGTGACGTCGTATTGACGTAATTTTTGGATGGCATAGTCAGGTGGAGGTTAGGAATAACATATGCAAAATTCGTTTTGATACGCCAACTGGAAGTACTTGTGGTACTAAACTATACTAGACCCGAAATAAGTTAGTCTGTTGGATCAACTAAAATTATGTATATTATGCTATTTTAAACTTAATCAGTTAGTATTCTCTGTAACTCATGTCCTGAGCCTCTAGTTCAGCACTGCCTGGCTCCACAAAGCTTGAAGTAAATAATGGTCAAAGCTTGTGTATTGTTATCCAAGTCAAAGAATCTGAAGAATCAGCCTCCTGCCGCTTCACAGTTATTGCGTTATCGTGCATCTGTCTCATCAGTAATTATCGTGACCCATTTAAACGTTTGAGCCGACCATACAACCCCAACCAGTAAACGGCTCCCGCAGCAAAAAGCCGTCTGCAAACCAACTACCGTACCTGAACTAACGACGGTCTACGAAAGTACAGGCGTCTGACACAGACACATCGAAGGCAAAAATTGACGAAGACACAGCGCCATCTGGCGGTTTTATTGAGACATCACAGCCATCGATCTATAACAGGCGATATATATCAGTCGGCGAGCGACTGATCCTCGGCCAGTGCTCTTCAACCGGGTATACAGTATATCCAAGTGTATACCGGACCATAAGTAAGGTATAGACCTGATAAAAGGTATACGAAGGGTATACAGCAGTGGGCGGAAACTTTATGTAATTGCGGGCCAGATATGCACATTTCCGGTAGCGTGCGGGCCGCATCGATTTCCGTCTAGGATCAATCGCCTAATAAAGTTCAAATTATGACGCACTCGCACCATCAATGGCTCTGTTAAAAGTCTGGAACAATGAGACGTGTATGTGCCTTTTTAATATATTATTATCAAAAATACCTCCAACCGAAGAAGTAGTTCTGATTTATTCGTACCTTTCATGAGTAAATCTGTGAGTCAGCATTCCTTGTCTTTTACTGGACCCAAACTTTGGAATTCTCTTCCCTTAAATTTGAAAACGTTAAAGTCCAAAAAATCTTTTCAAAAACAAGTCAAGTCTCATTTAGTTTCCAAATATTAAAAATTACTACTGGTGGTATTCGATGACAAAAACTTGGGACACTCCACACTTGCACATTATTGTCTTAATGAAAATGTTGAACAGCTATAATAATATTGTTATATCTTGCCATGACTTGGCCAGACCTAGTCTGGCACCAAAGAAATGGTATTGTGACATGCATGAGTATATTTTATATATATATATATAGGTAGCTGACATACCCGGATGGTATTTTCTTTGCATAACTGCACACATTCCATCACTTCACGCTCGTGTTTTTACCTTTTTCTAGATGTCCTTATCATATATGCATGGTCTTATGTTTGAGTGGTGGTATAAGGGTTGTAGATAGTATAATATAGTTCCTGCAAGGTTACTAATTATTGAAACTAGGCGAGTAGTAGAGCTATGTTGGATTCTCCCCTTCAGATTTTAATTTGCTGTGGGCATTTTAATTGGATGTGGTTTTTATATCATTTATGTATGCATGCATTTTATGTTAAGCCATGGTATTGGTGTTTGAGTTGACTTGTTGGCCAAGGTATAGATAGGAAAATTTTGTGTGTTTTGCATGGTGTGATAAATTTTTCTCTGTCCCAAGCAGAATGTCATCATAGATCGTCTATCCATCGCTATATAATGACAATACATCCCATTTAATTAAACAATTATTTTTGCCTGAAATAAATAGTTCAGCGCGTTCCCCTTCACCCAATCATTGAAACATCTTCTCGCAGTTTTATTTTTTGTTTTTCAGGTTACTTCAAAGTGATAAAATGAAGAAAACACATAAGGAAGAAATCGAACAAAGACTCCGAAATAATGTGAAATAACGATCTTATTCCTATATCCTTGTCTGAAATTTGGCAATAATAAGCCAATAAAAAATTGCAAGTCTGAAACAAATATATTACAGACCAAATAAGAAGACAAATCAGAGTTTATAGTGTTTTTCAATGAGATTGATGAGCTTGGTGTTCTTCAGCGAGTTTTTTATTATATCTAAAATTACCCCGTTTACTGATGGAAAGGCGATTTAGTTGTTTTGATAGCAATAGTGTCACGGCTGAAAACCCCTTTTTCAACATATCAGAAGTCGGAAATGAAAGAATCCAGGGTTCTACCTCCTCAAAAACCGCCGGGTACTCTTGCCTTATAGCATTTAACTCCCTAAATTCACCCCGTTTCAAATTAAAGGAATGAAAACAAAAATAAATTTTCAAAACTTATAATAATGATTTAGGTAGCCTACATCCCATTCATCCCTACAGCCTGATGACCTTCACCAAAATACATGATATATAACGGTATTCGGTAAAAGTCATCCTCATTCCTCATCCTATCACGTCCTACAGTCCGATCACCAGTCCATAGAATTAATCAGCCATTTGTTTTGGATTTGTGGACTCGGATGGCTCGGGGGTCGGCAAATTTCAAGTCGCTCGCGGGACAAAATTTAGGATTGCTATCCTTTTGCGAATCGCATATATTTTTTGAAAGTTAAAAACGGAACATCGTGCAAAAACTCCGACAATTCGTGAACTCAACTCAGTCGTCTTATTAAAAAATTATTACAATGACATTTAATGTGACACTGTCTTGTTGCTGCATCACGCTTGATAGCTTTACGACGCCAAGATTGGAAGATTTTCCAAATCCTAGTTCTTTGCTTGTTCAGTTTCAAAAATAATTGTTCGCCCAAATATGTACTTCCAAACATCGAAGTGAATGTTTTTGCATGGTTTGTGAAATTTTGATAAAGATTTTCTTTAAAAAGATTCATTCTTACAAAAATTAAGCAGTGATGAATCTCTCGAATAGAATATGAATTTTTTCCCCTATTGCATCGCAATATATTCCAATATATTATTATTTACTGCGCTATTAAACCCCTGCACTCAGCATCAACTTTTCTGCGTGTTTTCATTTGTCTAATTGTAATTAAATTGTAGACTCGTTAAACGAGCTGTTCAATATAATTTTTAGGATATGAAAAAATTTAGTCTAAACGTGTCTCACGATAAATTATGTTACGTAAAAAATGTAATTTACTCTTCGATCGTAGATAATGAATAAAATTAATTCATCGGTAAAACCGCCGTTTTGGATGTTTCCCCTGGCATAGACTTCCTTGTTTACTTTGGTGACATTGTCCAATCAGCAAGATGCAAAAATAAACGTAACAATGCCCCCTTTCGCATCCACTCAGACACATTCCTCACTCAGCCAGACTTTCAGGCGTGGTCGTGAACATTACCTCATTTTTGCGATTTTTAATTATATTCGTTAGTTTTTAGTTGTTTTTCGGAAATTTAAATAAAATAAGTCGATGATCACCTTGTCCTCCTAGGAGTTTTAATTTAAATGCAGTAATCAAAAATTAGTGTAGAAATAGCTGTGATAGACTAGGCTAAAATTCTTTACCGGTACTTTTAAAAAACAGATTGTTGAATGGTATGAATTAGAATGATAGTTTGAAACAAATCCTTCATTTTATAGGCAACAACTCGCGAAACCACTCTTAAAATAAGCATCGAAAATTTTAGAATGGTAAAGTATGGGAAGAATTTTCCGGGATCTAAGGTCGGGGAAAGGTCCATTCAGCGTCCCTGGTCAGATTACCCGACCACTGGGATACGCAAACTACCGTACCTTACTGCGAAGACGAGTCCAGCAATCCCTTCGCGTGTGACATCGCCCATGTGATTCAAACCCACGAAAGCACTCATAGTAGGCCTACAGTAATCAAGTGCACGATGCGCCGAGCAAAACCAGTTTTCGCGGAATCGCCCCCTTCGACTTTTTCGCCCCCTTCTGTATCATTTTCGCCCACCGGGGGGGGGGGGGGGGTATTCCCCACTTTGGGAATCAGTGGTCTAGCCCACCTCTTCATGCACCCAATTCTGGCAACTTTGGTTGGGCAACTTGGCATTTGACTCCAACTATAATCAGCTTGGCAATATGTTTTCAATAGATTCTTCCTTTTATTGTTTATTCACGATTAGAAGATCGATCAATTTGGCAGTGGCAACCATTACAAAATTATCAATATGGTATTTTCTAGTATTTT